TGCTGCTGTGTATATAAGCACTCTTTGTCTGTACCTGCTTGTCTGTTCAAACCTGTAAATACAGAAAGATTTTCTAAGAACAAACTCAGTGTTTATGCCTGTTATTTTCAGCCTTGTTCTAGGTCCACTTTGAGCTCTAGTTTGGTTTTCACTTTCTGAGACAGCAAGTTCAGTACTGACAGGGGTGGATCTACAAGGGTGGCATGGGGTGGGCATGTGCCACCCTAAAATAATCTTTGCCACACCCTAGTTGTTTGCATATGACATGTTGTTTATTAAAATAAGTTAGCATTAACACTTTGAGCCTAGCTGCAATTAACGTTGAATATAAATTCTAAAAAATGAATATATTGCAGTGTTACCCTCCCTCCCCTATTAGAAAATGGTTCAGCCCTTGATCGTTTTTTTAAAAACAATGAAAATCTTTGGCAGTCAGTGACTGACTGAAGTCTAGATGCTCTGTCGGACCTTTGCTGCAGCAGCTTTCGGTTTCTTGATTTGTCTCTGCCTTCAGTTTTGTCTATGGTACAGTTAATAGCATTTTTTTCCATATATACAAAGGCTCTGGAGCCGTGCACATTCAATCCCAAATCAAAACATGAACAAGTTTTTCTTTACTGAAAATGAAGAAAAAGAAAATTAGGTTCACAAAAATAGAAGTGTCTGCATTTTCATTTACAAACTGGAATATTTACAGTAGAAACTAAAATGAGGATTTTGCTTTTCCTTTAAGCACACAACTAATATTAAGTTGTGTAACTAGTATTTCTGATCACTGTTTTACATCTGCGTGGCATGGAGTCAACAAATATTTGACACCTGCCTCCAAGCTGACTGGACTACATTAAACAGATCTTCTGCATTCTTGGGTTTTGCATCAAGAAGACAATTTTTGAGGTCATTCCACTAATTCTCAATCAGATTGAGGTCTGGGTATAGGGCCGGCCACTTTATAACATCAATCTGTTTTTGTCTGCAACCAGGATGTTGCCTGCTTGCTGGTGTGTTTGGGGTCGTTGTCCTGCTGAAACACCCATTTTAAGGGCATTTCTTCCTCAGCATAAGGCAACATGACCTCTTTCAGTGTTTTTAGGTACTGACACTGGTACATGGTGCCTCTTATGTGATAATGGGCCCTATTCCAAAGTATGAGAAAGATCCCCAGGTGCTTGCACCTCCATGTTTTACAGTCTTCACAGTGTGCTGTGGCTTGTATTCAGTGGTCTTTACACCTAATAAGAACCATCTTGCTCTCATCTGTCCACAGAATATTGCGCCACTTCTCTTTAGGCCAG